GCAAAATAATTTTTATTGCAGTATTTTCAACCAGCAGGAATGTTATAGCTCTACAGCACAAAGCCAGGATGATACACAGGTCTTGTTCACCCCCTTTCCACACCACTTTATGTATCAGATGTGCTCAGAAACATCCTGTATAGATGGTTCCACCCTCTCCACTTCTGAGACCGCACAGCCCAAAAAAACTGGTAGCCTGCTTCACTCCCCCCTAAATTATTCCACCTGTAAAGCACAAATAACAAAATATATTTTTACCTCTAAGAGCTTCACTTATCTGCAGAAAAATAGAACTGCTTAAGGGTGAGCGAATTAGATTAAGGAAGTGTCCAAGTATACACCCGCACGTTCTGGACCTTCCAAAAAAATTGTAAGGAAGAAGCATTCACAACTTGATCCAACTAAAAAAGAAGCCAGCCAGTGTTCAAGGAAAGGACATTTATCCTATCCAAAATGCTGAATGTCTTCTCATCCTTCTCTCTAGAACAGGATAAAGAGGATGGAGCTGTAGCTGTGAAACTTTTCTCTAAGTACAGAGATACATTAAGAATGAACATTCCAAACACATCAAAATATCAGAAAGAAAACTAGATGTTTTTTTGGTTTTGTCTGTTTTTTTCCAAAACATAGTGAAAACAGCATACAGAGCTTCAATATCCACAGCACAAACCAAAAACCAAACAGAGCTCATTTGATCTAGAGTGCTTTTGTTAAGGTATTCAGAGACTTTAGTGCATTCTTTTTAGAACTAAGCTCAGAAACTATATTTAATTTTTCATTTTATTAGAAAACTAAACTGTATGAGGCAAAGAAACATTTAATCAAACACACAACAGTGAAAACATGGCACTGACAAGGCAATTAGCCCAACCATTGTAACAAATTCTGCTTCAGGATTCTCTATTGCTTACAGTCAGGTATACATCATCTCTGCCATGTGAGACATTTTCTTGGGAATATATAAGTAGTATTCCATGTATCCCGAAAGATCTTCAATAGTCACGTCATCCACAAAGGCTCGAGCTTGCTCAGAACAAGACCTGGGAGAGCTTGCTGAGGCTGTCCCAGAGGGAGATCTGTTGTGCAGGGAGTGGGCATGGACCCCCAGGACTGCCTTCTCGCACTCGGACAGGACGCTCCGCAGGCCGGAGAAGGAGTACACCTCCATGGTGCGCCACTGCTTGCACTGGCACTTCCTGTCCGTACAAGGGCACTGCCTGCCGTTGCTAAGCATGGATAAGGACTGGAAATCTGAGGTTTGCTTAGAACACAAGCTGTTCTCAAAGGATGAGCAGAGAGCAGGGCAATTCTCCTCCAGCTTCTGCAAAGGCTCTTCGGCGGTGAAAGCTTCCAACGGTTCAGTTCTGTCGTTACTGGCCTCAAGGTGAGAATCCTGCCCGTCCTTCGTACCATGTTCTGCTGGGACAAAAACATCTGAGCTGATGACACCCTTCGAAGTGTCTGCCTGGGGTTTGTGTTTCAGCTGGCTGTTGGCTTTCATGTTGCAGTAGGTGAACTTGGGAGGGTGCAGGACCGGAGACTTGGAGCGCCGGCGACGTGGGACCCTCGCCGATCCTCGGGAAGGCTTCCTCACACACCTGCAGGGTTCAACAGGTGAGCAAGTGGGTAACTCCAGAATCTACACAACAGCTCAGTAAGCTCTAAAATGTGATTGAAAACATTTTACAAGATTATTTTTCTGCTTGGAAATACCAGATGACTGGACACTTACAATCTCTGACAGAAACTGTGGAGGACTCTGAAGAAATTCGGGTTCCCCCAGAGGAAAGATACATACAAGGAACCCTTATCCAAGGTGCTTCCCCCCAAGTCTTCCGCCTTAAGCAAATGATACTCATCCCAAATTGAACTGTAGTGCAGAACCTGGGTCAGTTGGAGCTGCTGGCAGAGTCACACTGAATATCCAGGTACTTCAAAAGTAATAAAAGAACCCAAGAGTGAGATGAGAGGGGGATGAAAAGGTTTAAGACTTGCAGAAAAATACTACTGATGATATCAACAGAAAATAAAGTTTTGGGAACCCTCTCTAAGAGAAGATGCAATATTGTTTTTAAAGACTTTGATGAAATCAAAGAACATATCAGTTATGGAAACATTCTGTGACAGAAAGGAAGAATATCTTCAAGCAACAAATTGACAACAACTCGCACTGAAAGCAGCCTGCAACTGTCCATTGTGTCATGTTTTACCCATGCCATGCTTCCTTGGAGCTGACAGTCTGCTGCTTGGCTCCATCCATGGCTGCTCTTGTCGTTGTTCTGAGAATCGTCCCGTCGCTCACGGACAGAGCTGCAATACATCTGGGTAAAAAGGGAATGCCACATCACAGAAATGCCTGAACAGATGGCTCCAGAGGCCCACATTCAGCCTGTGTGCTTCGGATGCTCTGCTAAGCCCATCAAATTTGCTGCATTGACTCCCTCTGTAGTCACTCAGAAACAGGGCCTTAAGAGAGATTTATACAACCCCACTTACTATACTGGCCTCGTCAAGTGGCTAAAGATAGGTGAGATGCAATGAAAGGCAGTCAGAATGCCCAGAGGTTGATGTCATGCCCTATTTGTACTAAAATGACACATTAAAGGAATGTAAACTCAGGTTCCAAACGTTCTTGTCAGACAATAGTCATTAAAGATAGCCTTCTACTCCTCTGAAATGCAAAGTCAGGCACCTGGAGCAGCAGGCTGAGGAGGAATCAGTGTAGAAGTGGAGGAAGTACAACAGGCAAGGACAGATTGCTGATTTATTTAGTTCTCATTAAATTTTTGAGATAAGCATGGAATGAAAAAAGCATCTGACCTTGGAGGTCTGGATGACAAACATAAACACCTCAGCACATGCATGTGTATTTTTAGTTATGATGGCTGCAGGTGTGATTTGGAACATGGGAAATTGTAAGAAATGAGGCTGAAATTCTAGCACAGAGCCCTAATACTCTGCCCAAAGTTGATCTTAACAGATTAGTCACAAGATTTGAGCTGTTCATAACACATGCCTGCAAAACAAGATCTTTTTATGCCTAAGATGTCATCAGGAATCAACCAGAAGCCCACACAGTCTGCCAGTGGTACTACATCAAAAGCGTTATGATTAATAATCACAGTTCCTTGATGGAGAACATCTATTTTTTCCACAGTGCTCAGAAGACTTCCTGAAGTAGAGGGAAGGAGTAGCAAAGCAAAATAATTTCCACATGCAGAGGAAGGCCTGAATTCACAGTGTTGATGGTAGTGGGGATGAATTCACAATGTAACACTGTCAACACAAAAGTTCCACTTGTGTTTGTAAATTCCCAAAAGACTTCAAGTGAACTGTCTCCGAGTGTTAGACTGCATAATTTTATCAACTCTAACACTACATATTATTAACACACCCAGTATCTCACTGAGTAAGTTTTTATTGTAAGAATGTCTGCAGACATTTTATTCCACAAAACCCCCTGAAATCAGGAATGTTCAGAGCTCATATTTATCCTGACCCTTCCCGGTAAGACTGGGCACCCCAGCACACTCTGAGGTGCTGGTGCTGCTGTCCAGATGCCGTCTAAGCAAAATTTTGTGCACTAAACAAAGGCTTATAATGTGGCTGCAGACACCAGTGTTCAGAGGGACAGACAAACAAATTCTGTTTGTGACTACAGCTACAACAGTTAAAACTGGGTTCACTGCTTTAGGTGAGTCTTTTCATGCTTCCATGCAGTCACTGTGTGATTTCAGTTGGATATTAGTCAAAATTACTCTGTAATAAAGTACTGGTTTGCATATTAGACAGTTATAATGACTGTATTTCATCTGAAGTGATGCAGTTCAGAGAGAGCAAAGAACCTTTCAACAAATGGCTTTTTCTTTTTGAAATGCAAAATAATAGAAAAAATACAAAGATGTAATAAAAACCTGACAAATTACATTGCCTTTTTTGTTGCTCACTTACCCTGCTGCATCCACTCTCAGCTTTTTGAATGCTGTTTGTAGACTCTCCTCTTCTTCATCTTTAGCTTCCAAGTCCATTGATGTGCTCTCAGTGGGTAACCAACTGTGCCATATAGAATAAACTGAAACATAGACATTGGGATTTTATACTGAGGTCTGAACACAGATGCTGTGCACAAAACTGACTGACAGTGTGATGGGTGCTCATTTTTCTGTGGGCAGTGTCACTGCCTTCTGACCAGACCTGCCCTGGGCTTTTCACTGTGAACGCCAAAGTCTGAGTTTTTCAGAACAAGCACAGCTAGTGTCAAAAATATCAAAGTGTCTTTTTATCAATGTGTGAACACAGATCCTGGCAACCTGTGTAACTCTGAGCTGCGAGCATGGCACCTGCAGCAAAGCTTCAGAAAGGTTTCAGGAGTCACAGGATGGTTTAGGTTGGCAGGGACCATCCCGTTCTCTTGCTCAGGCAGGGCCATCCCACACTGGTTTCCCAGGACGATATCCAGGTAGCCTTTGAATAACCCCAAGAAGGAAGACTCCAGAGCCACCCTCAGAGAAAAGCGAGCGTTTCAGTGTGTGCCCGCGGCCTCTGCTCCGGTCCCCGGGCAGCAGCGAGCACAGCCGGACTCTCAGGCACTTCGCGCCTCGCTGCGATCCCTCCCGAGCCCTTTCCCCGCGGCAGCAGCGCGGGGGCGGCCGGGCACTGCCGGCGGGACAGCCGCGGAGCCGGGCCCGCTCCGCCACCTGCCCCGGCACCTCCCGTCGCCGCCCCGCCGGGAAGACCCGCACGGCCCCCCCGCTGTCCCCGCTGTCCCGGGCTGTCCCCGCTGTCCCCGCTGTCCCCGCTGTCCCCGCTGTCCCCGCTGTCCCGGGCTGTCCCCGCTGTCCCGGGCTGTCCCCGCTGTCCCCGCTGTCCCCGCTGTCCCGGGCCGCGGGGCCGCCACTCACCCACCGCCGCCGGCCCGGGGCGCGCAGCACAACAGGACGTGACGTCACCGCCCGCGGGGGCGCGCCCCGGCCCCGCCCGCCCCGCCGGGTGCGCGTGCGCGAGCGGCGGCGGTTCCGGGCGGCGGCGGCGGGCCCGGCCCGCGGAGCGCGGTGAGTGCCGCGGGTACCGCGAGTGCCGCTCCCGTCCCTGCCCGGCCTCCTCCCAGCCCCGTCCTCCTCCCAGCCCCCTGCGCGGGTCCTCCGTGCTGCCGCCGGGCGCCGGGGAGCGCCGTCCTGTCCCCGCGGCGAGCCGTTCGCGCGCGGTTCCCGCCGCCGGTGCCGTGGTGAGGGCGGAGGGCGCCGCGGGAGGCTCGGCGGGCGCGGGGCGGCGGGGCTGGGGCACGGCCGAGCCCCGGCGGGGCTGGGTCACGGCCGAGCCCCGGCGGGGCTGGGTCACGGCCGAGCCCCGGGGCGGCGGCGGGGGCGCGGGAGGGGCTGGGGAGGGAGCTCCGAGCGGTTAGAAGCGCAGAGTTAAAACAATGTCAGACAAAAATGGAGCATTCGCGAGTTCGTGTCCCGTGGGCCGTGGCCGGAACGCCCGGTTGTGAGCGGCCCTTCCCGTGCCCGTCGGTAGCCCGCGGGGATGGAGGTGCCCGTGCCTTGTCCCATCGCACCGCGCTCGGCCGGGCTCGTAGTGGCGGTGGTGCTGGGAAGTAGCCGGAAATAAAATGGAAAAGGAAAGGTGTGTGTTTTCCTGGGAGGTAAAAACCGTAAGTTTCAGTGTGCTTTTTAACACGGTAAACTTTAGCTGGCTTTCACAGTAATTGATTTTTTTTTACGTGTGTGCTCGTTGGCGCGTGCCTCTAAGTGCCTAAGCTTATACTTTGTTATCACCCAGTGAGACTTTTATCTAAATAAATTCTGCATTGTTTTGAAGGTTTGCAGTGTTGGTGATGAAGGGCAGCACGATAAAATATTTAGTCTAAAAGCTGGTACTCTGCTTGGAGTAATGTACAGTGACTTTAAAACTTTTAGTTTTATCTTTCTGGTTCGGCTGTGTAATACAGGAGTTTGCTGTTAAAAAAACCCTGAACTTACATAGCCTGATTTTTTTTTTTTTTTTTCATTTCAAAGAATCATCTGAGGATGATTTGGGAGCCAAGGGGTAAAAGTGAAGTAGAGACCATCTGTTTCACCAGAGCAATAATATTTGGCTAAGGAAAAATATGAAATAGTAACTTGCTCAGATGAGCATAATGTTGTCAGCGTTTAAGCTTCCTCTCCTGTTTACTCCCTGGCTGACTCACTGGACACCATGTGCCTTGAAATTGTTATGATACATTATCCTTTTGTGTGTGTCATAATAGCTGTGTGCAATCCAGGGCAGCCAGGTGAAATCACAGCACAGAGCAGCAGTGACAGGGAGAGCTGCCACCTCCAGCTGCAAGGAGAGGACAAGGAGACAGAGATTATCCCCATCCCTCTGCATGAGTGACTGAGCTGCACAGCGGCTGGCAGAAAAGGTCTCAGTGAGGAGAGAGTTCTTTTCCTTGCTGCAAAAACAGTTTGTGCAGGGCTTTGCACTTCCTTTTGCTGAAGTTCATGAGGTTCCTGTTGAGGTCCCACTGGTGTTTCAGCCATTCATCCCAGTTTGGTGACGTCAGCAGACACGGTGAGGGTACCCTGCCACATCTTCCAGACCATTAATGAAGATATTAAACAGGACTGGACAGTCCTGTCCCTGGGATACATCGCTGGGGCCTGACCTCCAGCAAACCCAAAGAGCATGAAATTTAGAAAGATTTGAGGTCCTTTGCAGCTAGATTAAATGATGTTCAGGGTAGATTAAAAAAAAATACAACAGCCAATTTTTTTTTTTTAATTTAAAGCAAGGCTTTCTGATTGCTTTTGGTATTTGTTTGCATTTGTACTTGTTCACAAGCTGATACTGGTAAATTTTAACAACTATTTGTAACCATAACACCATGTTCTGATAGGACTGTTTAACTGTTGCTGGGACCTAGACCTAAGGTCAAAAACTTTTGCTTGGCTTAAAACTTTATCTTGCTTTAAGAAAAAACTCTTGGTTTGGTTTTTTTTAAAGTGTATGTGTAGCACTGAGTCCCAAATTTGGAAAGAAGAGTTGTAGAAGGTTGATTGTTTTCAATAGTGTTGTTCCTTCTCACTTTCACTTCTACAATTGTTCTGGTAGCACTGTAAGACAAGTGGAAGAGTTTGGCTGGGCTGTAATGTATGTGCAAAATGCTGTTGACACTAAATTTGACTTTGAATTGTTAGTTCACCTAGAGTTGTACAAGAGACTGTTCATTTCATTCTTGGGTATATTAAAGCTTGTTCTGAGTCAGCTTTCAAAAATGTTCTACTAGAATGACCTCAGCTTTGTGTGCTCAGTGTGCTATTTTGAGTTTATTTTCACGTATTATGGTGCTGCTGGGCAACTAATGTTTTTAACAAGGATTTGGCCCTTATTTTCATGTGTCTTTTTTTCTGATTGTAGCAGTACATGGTAATTCCATCACCTCCTGGCCATCCAAATGATGAAATCAGAAGCTAAGGATGGAGAAGAGGAAAGCCTGCAGACAGCATTCAAAAAGCTGAGAGTTGACACAGCTGGGTGAGTAACACCACAGGGAGGCACAGACCTAACATCTTACAAATGGACTCAAAGGGAACACCCATGCTGTGAAATTTGAGGGAATGAGGTAATTGCAAAAGGTTAGGGACAGAAAGCTTTCATTGTAGTTAAACAGACTGAAATAAATTCACTACCTGCAGACTGCACTTCTTAAGGAATTGTAAATTGATTGTTGTCAGCTTGCAGTAGGTTAGAAAGAAACCTCACAATCGTGATCAGCTGACAATGTGCTTGAAATGAATTTTGGCATTAATCTGGCTGCCAGAGGTTACCAGTACTAGAGTCCATAGGACTAGAACTCTGCTGTTAAAATTAGGATATTACCATGGTCCTGAAGGCCTGTCATGGGAATAAAATCACATATTTTCCCAGGAGAGAAACTTTCTTTCCATGTCAGTAAGGGAGAGCGTTAGATTCAGTGCCTGATTCCCACACAAACTATTTTCATTGCTGTCACAAAATTTCTATTTATAACCAGAATCACTAAATGGGAAAGAATGGTTTTTGTGTTGTCTTGGTTTGTGGAGATCTGACACATGGCACCTACCTTCACTGTCCCAGGTGACAGAACACAAGTACCACATGTCTTCTGTTGGTAATGATAATTTTTACCTGAAATTAAGTAAAGGAAGGCTTCCATATAACAATTTTTTTTCTGCTGACAAATGTGCACCATTGTAGAATCTGGGATCCCATAAGCTGTTGTCAGTGATGCAATTACACTGTCACTGGAATGAAAGGGTAGATAAGGCAGCATCAAGGTGATAACTAGAATTAGCACAGAGCTGAGATTGCAAGTAGATGGGCTTCTAAAGTTATCTTTTGTTTAAATAATTAAACTCATTAGTAATGAATTACCTCTCATTCCTTCAGTATCTTTAGTACCATCCTTCAGCTGGGCAGAGTTGATTACTTTGGAGTTGTTACTGGTGCCTTTTGATCTTATGTTCTGTATTAGTTGTCCTTTAAATGGAAATTAGTTTTATTAATAGTTTGGATTCTCTTAACCCCACCCTAGATCAGTGTGTGGGGACTCATTTTCACTTTCCAGGGAATCTGTCCTGTGTACAAACTGATTTAGCATAGGATTTGGAAAATAATTTTCTTGGGACTTCCACTCTAATATGTGAAGTCACAACTTGAAAGAATTGTTCTTGGGTTATTGTGGGCCCTTCAGAATGGGAGTGTGGAATTAATTCATAGCACCAAAAAAAATAGTAAATCTACTAAGGCCCCTGCCTTGAATAGAAGCTGAAGGTCTGACACAACTCTGTGGCTCAAATAATTCAACTTGCAGGAGTATGAAGAGTTTTAGCTTATGTTGACAGGCTATGTTAGACAGAGGCTTAAGTGTTCTTCAGCTAAACAAAGTCTATTTATGTCCAAAGAACATTTATTTTTAGGAAAGAATGGCTTATTTGTCTCTGGAAAAAGAGACTTGTTTCTTCAGTGATGGTGTTTCTGCCTTCCCCTCTCCTGGGAAGCTGAAATTTGGCCATTGTGTGGGTTTGTCACTGACACGTGGGGCTGGCTCTGCAGCGGAGCTGTGAATGGCATCTCTTGGTCAAAGAGTCTGTTACACAAACCCTGGGCATAGGAGTGTGTCAACACTCATCCTGCTGATTTGGGTCTTTGTGGGCAGGTCTTTGAAACTGTATTCTTAATGATTTGGAGCAGTATTTTCTGGGAAATAAGATGCACAAAGGTTTATTTTCATAATCATAATGTTAACCAGTGTAGGTTGTTAACTCTTCATTCTGTCTCTCACAGATGTACCACTTCTCTCTCTGTGGGTGATGGGACAAGTCCCAGAGCAATAGTTAGAACAGTGGCAGATGAAACCAAACCTAAGAATGTGTGTGCTTCTAAGGAAACCTGGCATGGGTAAGAGAAGCTTGGGATTATCAGACTATTTCCAATGATACTGCCTTGAAAAGGAATTTTAAGTAGACAGTTTCTAGTTGGTGCCCCTCTAAACAAGAGACCTGAGCTGCCTTTAGCAAAGAACTTTATAAAATACTCACACCAGCTTTTTCTCTTCATATATGACTGCTGTTCTTTAAGTTAGGTGAAGTGAAAGGAGATGCTGGTCACTCATAGGTGGCTAAACGTTGTAGATATTTCTCAATGCAAATGTGAGCTGCTGGTTTTGAATCAGACAATCATGAATGCATCTCTTTCAATCATTGTTTGACACTGCAGAAGGTGTCGTTGTGCCTTGAAAACTAGATTAAAATAAAGAATTGGTTTCTAGAGTATCTTTGCAGAACTTCATGCTCATATGAAACAAAACCATCCTTTGCCCTTAATTCATTGGTGTTGTGCTCTTTTCTTGTGCTTTGTCCTTCTTGTAGTGATTATTTTGTCATGTCTCACATGCTTTACTCATTTTCTCACCTTTAAAGCACACTCTCTGGGGTGCATTTTTTTTAGTATTCCTTTTATATTTTATACAACTGCTTGTCTAGAGCTAAGTCAAATTCCAAGACAGCAGCTTAATATAAGCAAACACTCCAAACCTAAAGCTTGTGCATGCAATATAAATGGAGGAGAGATTTTGCCCGGTGTTACTTATTGCCCAACAGTAAGTATTTTGGTAAATCTTCATTCCCTTTTTGTCTTTCCCTTGCAGGTCTGTGAAGAAGCCCTCGAGAGGAGTTGTGAGAACCCAGCGTCGCAGGCGTTCCAAGTCTCCAATTCTTCATCCTCCAAAGTTCATCCATTGCAGCACAAAGTCACATTCCACGTGCAGCCAGCTGGTGCAGAAGAGCCAGGCTGATGCCCAGGAGGACAGCAGTGGGTTTGGGATGCCAGTCCCAAAGGAAGCTTGTGCACACGAACACTGCAGCGTTGCTCTGGATGTTGGCCAGAAGGGAGCTGAGGAGTCTTTGGGAGTTTCTGTTGCACAGTTGACAGCGGAGAACACACAGGAGAACTCTCCAGCTGCAGCTTCTCCAGTATCCAGAACAAGCCTAAAGACTACAGAGCTTTCTGACTTCCAGTCTATGTCCAAGCTGAACACGAGTGAGCCGTGTGCATGTGCAGATAAAACCTGTCAGTGCAAACTGTGGCAAGATATGGAAGTGTACAAATTCTCTGGCTTGCAGAACACCCTCCCACTGGCACCTGATAGAACGGTTTCTGAGGATCACTCCCAGCTTTTGCCATCAAGAACTCCCTCAAGTTCTCCACGCTCTTGCTCTGAGCAAGCCAGGGCCTTTGTGGATGATGTGACAATTGAAGATCTTTCGGGATACATGGAGTATTACTTGTATATTCCAAAGAAAATGTCTCACATGGCAGAAATGATGTACACCTGACAGCAGCAGCACTAAAACCAGAAGAGTGGCTGATTTAAATCTGCCCTCAGGCACATCATGTGAATATGCAACCCACTCCTTGCTCACTGTGCTTGCAATAAAAACACTTCTTTGCATCTCAGCTGATGTTGATTATTTAGGCTGGACAAACAGTTTAGTTTCAGCATTATAATTTAAGCTTGGAATAGATAATGTGGTAAATGAACCTAGAGTGTATCTGCCTGTACTTAAGAGACCCAACACTAATTCTACTTTGTTTCCAAAATCCTCTTGTTGCTTTGTTGGAGTCCCTAGATTGCTTGGTGATAAGAGCTCTTCTTGTGAGACACCTGGTGTCACTCAGCTCCTTTGAAATCACTTTGACCTCAGGTTGTAAGACTCAGGCTTGTGGTTTTGGATGCTTGTGCCTCTGATTTTATTTCATAAAGGAGTGTGGCCATCTCCTAACCTCCCCTAGGTACTATTACTGGAAAAGTGGAAAGCAAACCTTTCACTGAATTTCCAACAGGCCTTAGAGACTTGTGTTGCAAGAGAAACACCCTGCTTCCTCAGGCGAGCTGCTGCTGTGGTTAACCAAAGGAAAAGTGAGGGCAAGGGCTGTGCTCACTGTACTTGTTATGGTGACCAAACCAGAATTTGCTCATTTCAGTGGTCTTAATTCATACACTGTCTGTCATTTTTGGGGGTTTTTAGCTTCTTTTTATCCTATTCTATAGGAGCAAGTATTATCCTTCCTTCAGGCATTAAAACCCATCGACTGCAGTGAACAGTTGTCACTTGTAGGGAAGTCTTGAGCACTGTCTCCACTCCAGTCTTGCTAAGCCATCATCACTTTAGCTGCCCTGCCCAGCTTTGCATTCTCCTGGAATTTACTGCTTCAGAAGCAGGCAGCTCTCCATACACAGTGTGCATCAACACAGTGTCTCTTTTATGAGTGTCTAGCAAAGGAGCATCCCATCAAATAACATAATTGGTTGAGGGTGAGAAAAGTTGCATTTTGGCTTGTCTTTACTATTTGTGGTACCACAATTTTCTGACGTACAAGATGTGGAGAAGGAATGGAGACAAACATTTTCCTGCAAAGTCATTTGGGGTTTTTTTGCAATTTCTGTGGCAGCACCTGGTGTCTCAGAACAAGTGGCCATGTAAGTCCACCTGTTTTGCCAGTCCTGAAGTGTCACCTACGCCATGCAGAATTTACCTGTGTCCACATCCCTTTCTGTGCTCTGAAATAGCTGCATTTCTGCCACTTGTGTTCTGAATTCAAGGCAATTTTTTGGTAACTTTTGTTTACAAAACTGGGCTACAAAGTGCAGAATGACTTTATTTCTCAAATAATTATTCTTAACAGTTCTCAAATGCAAATTCCAACCACAGCACTGTCATGGGGCTGAAAGTGCCTTTCAAGACTGCACTGCTTTTACCATTTCATTCTTTAGTGACCACAGACCTGTACTGCAGGGTTTAGGATTGCACTGTCCACTGCTCAGTACTGTGTTAAAGTGGACTGAAATCCAGGAGATGTAAAAATAGTAGAAAAATGTGAGCTGGTGCTGACTGAGAAGGGACACAAGCAGTGCCACTAGAGGTCAGCCCCAGGCTGGAGCTGGCTGCTGCAGCAGGCTCAGTCTTTGGGGAGAATGGGAATTTTTCTGCCAAAACAAAGAAATAAGAGCAGCTCTTATTTCTTTGGTGCCTCTTATTTCTGTGTGGTGCCTTTGTGCATACTGACTGTCAGTGTTTTCTGAAGTTTATGTGGGTTTGTTGGTGGTCAACAAAAGCTCTTTAAATGCCAAAATCTGCATAAGTTATTAATGTTTAGACAAAGTGTGCAATCAGTTCACAACTGTGCTGTGTAATTAGGAAAAGTTGCTAAGTAAATAATTACATAGTCCTGAACTTGGCATCCTCTTGGGACAGTTACAACATCTTTGGGCTTGTAAGTGCTGGAACACCGTGGAATAGAAGACCATGAGTTGCTGCAACCGCTGCCTTAACGCTTTCTCTTCTGTTACCACAAGTTGTTTTCAGATGTTTTGGTCTTCGCAGAAACCGTAAAGCAAAACCTTCTGGTTTTGCTTTGAGAAAATGTGACTTTATGGCCCTTAATCATGCAGTAAGAACCTTGAAAACTTGCCTAAGTTGTCTAAAAACTTAGTTTAAAATAACAAAAAAATTTATCTTGAACCAATTTCAAAATCTTTTTTTTTAAAGAAGGCTTTGGAGGGCTGGTTCTGCCAAATGGCACTTCTGAGTCATGTTGGAGTCCGTTACCAAAGAGCTCATTTCTTCCTGTGGCTGAATAAAAGTGAAGCCCATTGTAATTAACTTTCTAACTTGGTCCTCACCTGTGTCTGCCAGTGTTCTGTGTTTATGTGCTGTCCATACACAGAGCTCTTGCAGTTACATATTGTGTGCTCCCTCTGTGCCTTTCCTTCCTAGAAATGCCAATGTGGAGATTGAAAGTTGAAAAACTGAGTCCGAACCCACCGCTGTCTGTGGCAGCTTTGCCCCAGAGTTTGGTGGGGTTTTGGGATCTCCCCTGGAAGGGCTGATAACACCCCACAGCTCCTGCAGCTTCTCAGTGTGGTGGTCAGTAAGGGAGGGGCATTTCTCCGTGGTCTTGCTGGGACAGTGTCTAGGAGTGGGATGGGTGTGCTGGAAGAAGAGAGGGCTTGGATCAGCTTGGTCTTTCAGTCCTTGTCCTCTGCCATCTGTATTCGATGGCATTATTACACACAAGGTGTCTGTCACACTCCGTGTGTCTGCAACTGTCTACCATCTTCACACACAGACTGACTTATGCCGCTGGCTATTAAACAGAAGGAAATTTGGGAAGTTCGTTGTTTGGGAGAGAGGGGTAAATGACTACTACTGAACTTCTTTGCCCTAAAGCAGCTCTGGAAGGTCACTTTGGGAAGTAGCAGAGGGGCAGAGGGAGCTGTTTGCTGTGCTCTCACTCCCTGTTCTACCTCTGCCCAGTTACCCACGGTGTGAGTGACCTGGCCCCGGGCGCTCTGTCCCCGCATCCCGCGGAGCTCCGGCGGAGCGGGACAGCGGCTGCGGGCCCGGGGGAGCGGCGGCCCCTTCCCAGGCTCTATTTTAAGCAGACATTTACTTTCCCAGCCTCTTCTCCGCCTGGATCCCTGCCCGGGGCGGGGGACGGCGGAGGGGGGGGTGGGGTGGGATGTCTCTCCCCTCCTTCATAAAAGGGCCCCGAGGCGGGGGCCGGGCTCCAGGGGGGTTATTTTTGGGAGCAGCTCCTGGGATCCGATGGCCTTGTTAGGGCAGCGCTGACCTTTCTCCCGGCGGGGGAGGAGAGCGGGACGGGGCGGGCGGCAGCGGCCGGGCGGGGGAGAGCGGCCGGCTCGGGACCCCCATCCCTTCTCCGCCGCGGGGATCGGGACCCCATCCCTTCTCCGCCGCGGGGATCGGGACCCCATCCCTCCCTCTGCCGCGGGGATCGGGATCCCATCCCTTCTCCGCCGCGGGGATCGGGACCCCATCCCTCCCTCTGCCGCGGGGATCGGGATCCCATCCCTTCTCCGCCGCGGGGATCGGGACCCCATCCCTGCCTCTGCCGCGGGGCGGCTCCCCGGGCGGCCCATGCCCGTGCCCGCGGGGCAGGTACCGGCGCGGAGCGGCTGCCCCTACGGGGGGGCTGGAGCTCGGCCCGCCCTTCTCCCCTCCCTCTCGTCCAATTTCTCTCTCCTCCCGTGCCCCAGCCCCTCGGCCGGGCCAGGCGAGGCAGGAGCGGCGGCTCTCGGCGCCCAGCCCGTTCCCTCCGGGGATGCGGGAGCCCCGGAGCGCTGCCCCTGGGAACGCTGCCCGGCTGAGGGGCACCGGAGGGCACCATGAGCGGCGGCAGGTTTGATTTCGATGATGGAGGCGCCTATTGCGGGGGCTGGGAGGGGGGCAAAGCCCACGGGCACGGCATCTGCACCGGCCCCAAGGGCCAGGGCGAGTACTCGGGCTCCTGGAACTACGGCTTCGAGGTGGTGGGCATATACACGTGGCCCAGTGGCAACACCTACGAAGGCTACTGGTCCCAAGGCAAGAGGCACGGGCTGGGAATCGAGACCAAAGGACGGTGGGTTTACAGAGGCGAGTGGACCCATGGCTTTAAGGGACGGTACGGCGCCAGGCAGAGCATGAGCAGCGGAGCCAAGTACGAGGGCACATGGAACAATGGCCTGCAGGATGGCTACGGCACCGAGACCTACGCTGACGGAGGTAAGGGTGGCTCCAGACAGAATGGGAGGGGGATGAACAGTGCCACACCCAGCCTGCGACAACAGAGGTTGCATGTTGTCTCTGCTGAAGGGCTGACCTGGTCCTGTTCCCACTAGACAGGCACAGTGTTCTACAATGAGCCATTGGGGTGCTTCAGTCAAAAGGGGAGCTTGGGCTGCAGCCATCTCGTCCATGTGCGTGCCCTGATTTTCCCAGCTGGGCACAGAATGTGCAGCTCACTGTCTGCAGACCTGAGGGAGGATCGCCCCAAGCTGCCCTTAAGTGTCTCGTTTGGCAGTTAATGCCAACCAACTCGATTTTGCGTAGTCTTTGACTCCTGGTTCCACAGGGACTGATTACTGCAGCTTCTGGCTGAACCACCCCAGGAATTCCCAGCTGGTGCACCACAGCAGTGATCTGTGTGCTCGCTCATCAGGCAGCGAGTTGTGAATGTTCTCGTGTCGGATATAAGCCACCCACAGCATCCCAGCACACCTTCCCTATGCATCAAACACTGCCTGCATGCCTCTGATGAGCTGCCTGCACATCTGCTTTGCCAAAGACTTTTGATTGAGTCTGTCTAAGCTGTTTAGAATATGTAGCCACACATATTCCCCAAAATAAATCCCTCTGGTTATGTTGAAGGTTTCAACCTTCACCACTATGCAACTGCACCACGTAGTCAGATATTTGTTGTGCTGTGTAAATGCTTGGTCTAATTGTGTTCTTGCATTAGTGGCAATTCTGGGGGTTAGAAACATGGCAAGAATTTCTGTGCAAGTAATTTAGTAGCTCTTCAGCATTGTAATGTTCCAGGCTGCCACATTTAGGATAGCTAAATAGAGAGGGTGATTTGAAAGAAATACCCTTCAAAATATGGATGAAAATTGTATCTATATTTGTCTAGGACAGGCACTGGAGTTAGTTTATAAAGCAAAATTAATATAAATCCTCAGAATGAAAAGCATCACATTTATAGACATTAGAAAAATTGACTAATTTAAGACTGGCTTTCAGAGCTATGTTTTTCATAAATATTTCTCAATGAGTTGTCTGGGTTTGTGGCTAACTTTAAGATTGAGAACACAGTCTTGAAGTTGGCCCATTTTCCTAGTGCCCTTAGATGTTGTAGGTACAGAAACGAACTGACACATCCCTCCAGCTCCTTAAATTTTTGCCCCTTTTGTCCTGTGGCCATGGAATTGTTTAATGGGTGCAGGTTGTGTGCAGGTTGTGGCCTTCATGTGAGGCCATAAGAGGAGTAGGTGACATGGAAGATGTGCTCTAATGAGTAAAGAGCAGCAATCAGGTAACTGTCAGCAGCAGCTGCCATTGGGAATTTCATTCTGGAGATGTCAAGGTCTCCTTTGAATTTGCATGGTTGCTTCCTTGCTGCTTCCTAAAATGCAAATCCTTCTAAGGGTGAAGGGCTACTGGAATTCCAGTTAATGTTCTGGGGGAGAATTTTGAGTAGCAAGACTTGACACAGGGGTTTGATTAGCTATGGGACAGAAGAGAGGGAGAGATGAGCCAGTGCTCTCTCCTGCAGGGATATGGAACATCCTGCTCTGTCAGCACAGTGCTCCACAGGGTGTTTGTCCCTCACCCAAGAACGTGCCAGCTGCTTGGTCCCTGGTGCCACTGGAGGCTGGCAGTTTAGCCCTGATCCCTGAAGATGTGCCCTGCCAAAACACTGAGCTCACGAGGGTTGTGCTGGGGTGCCCAGTGGCTGCTCCATGTGTTGGGTCATCACACCCTGGCTGGTCTGAGCTGCTCATTCAACACATGAGCTTCTCTGTGGCACAGCAACGTGGATAAAACTGCAGCCAAAGCCAGGGATCACCATCCACCATCACATCTCAAGGACAGGGGTGGAATGGTCTCACTGACCTGCGAGACCTTTTCCTGATTGTTCTTCTCACCTGCACACAGCAACCACCTGCAAGATCCAGATGTGGCCAGACTGCTAATGGGACCCATTCATGTTTGAATTTGAGGTTGCCAAGATAGACATCTGGAAAGGCTTTGGATATCTGCTGTCCCTTGAGTAGGGGACACGATTCCCAAGCCCCTTGGAAGCCAGCCACACAAGGAAAAGGGCTCTGGGAATGTGCAGCCCTTGCCAGGTCGTCAGAAACTTTAGGTCATGGTTGGAGTGTTTGCAGATTTCAGGGAAATGTAGCTGATTCTGATGTTTTAAAATAGACTTTATATATATATAGAGAGAGAGACATACATAAAAATTTACATTTCAAAATACACTTAAAATATACTTATAGGGTTGTCTGTGTATAGGGTTGTCTGTGTTTGAATCTTGTGTCTGGCCAAGATTTCAAAAAAAGCCTAAATCTGGAGTGAAGCTTTTTTTAATCCCATATAGATTTTTAGTGTCTAATAAGAACCAGGGTCATGGTACAGTTTAGCCCAGGCACTGTGTGAGTTATTTGCTTTTCTCCCCACTACCAAAAGCCTACTTTTGTGAAAGTTGTAAGAGACTGATGGTTTTAAGGGGATTGAAATCAGCCAAGGGGCTCAGAGCTCCTGGTGTGGCTTGCAGATACAGTGACATTCTGATATATCTCTCTGTATCCAAGCTGGATATACTCGCGTGTGCTGCTGTCACCAGGGGAGAGCTCAGAGCCCTTTAGAGGGGCAGAATGCTCTGG